CCGATGATTGGGTCGACCACAAGTGGATATCTCCCTGGGTGTGGGACGGTATCCGGATGGTCGGTCCGATCGAAGGTTATGGTGGACTCCGACCACCGGAGGAAGGGAGGTGTGGCTGGTTGGGCCGTGTAGACTTCGCGGCACGTGACCTTCTGACGGCGTTTGGAGTCGTAGGCCGCTGATCCTCCGAAGATCATAAGGCAGTCATCCGGCATTAGAAAGCCGTCGTCCTTCTCCTCAGCGTCGTCCGCAGTGGGGGGAGGGTCCTTCCCCTGCTCCCCTTTGTTGGAGCCTCCGGACAAGAACCGCCGCATGAGGCTGCAGTCCTTGAGCAGATGCTTGACAGGAAAGGTGTGGTTCGGGCACTGCCCCTCGAGTAATTTTTCAAAGTGGTTCGGAGTGCCCTCCACGGGCTTCCGACCATCCTTGCGGTCAGCAGCAGCCATGAGCAAGTCCTCGCGCCGTTGCTTCTTATTATTCCTTTTGGCGAAACGATTGGAGGTGCCTTCGCTGATGCCCTCGTCCAGCCTTGCCCTGCCCTCGAGGCGATCGAAGATCGCTTCGACCGCCTCTTCTCCTGAGGCATGGCTGGTGGCGATGTCAGGAGTTCCTTGGTGGTTTGTGGGCCCTTGCGTCCTAGCTTATGAACCAAGGACTCACAGGTCATCCCAGACAGGAAGGCTTCTATCACGTGGGCGTCGGTGACGTTAGGGAGCTCGTTGCACTGTTGGGAGAAGTACCGGATGTACCCACGGAGGGTCTCATTGGCCTTCTGATGGCAGCTCTTGAGGTCCCATGGGTTCCTAGGGCACTTGTAAGTGCCCTAGAAGTTTCTGACAAAGATCTCCTTCAGGTCCGCCCAACTCTGGATTACGTTGGACGGTAGGTGTTCCAACCACGCTCGTGCCGAATCGGCCAAGAACAGTGGAAGGTTGTGGATAATGAAGTCATCATTATCCACACCACCGGCTTGACAGGCAAGCCGATAGTCTTTGAGCCAAAGTCCAGGGTTTGTCTCCCCAGAGTACTTAGGGATATTGGTAGGTGGTCGGTACCTTGGCGGGAAAGCAACATTGAGGATGTGCCATCCGAAAGCCTGAGGGACTGGCAGGCTAGGGCTCTGGCTCTGGTCCTTGCCGCTGTCGTAGCATCCGCCGCGATGAGGGTGATAGCTGCGGCAGACTCCTTCTCTTGGGTCGCTGTAGGTACGTTTGCGAGCGTCGAGGGTGCTGCGTGCGTCATGGCCACAACGCGCTGCCTGCCGCATTGTGGTGCCTGGTGGACTGATGCGTCCCTGGCGGGGCGCACCGAGGGCGTGCACTAGTTGGTGTCGAGCTTGTGTCGCCGAGACAACGAGATTTCCGCCTGCTGCGTCGCCGCACGCTCAAGCAACGTGCGAATCTCACGGTGGGCCCGATAATCCTTAGGCATTGCGGCCTCTGGAAGGCCATGAAGCAAGGCCGTTGTGGCGGCAATGTTCTGGCTTGCCCGAGCAAAGTGAGGAAGGGTCTCATCATCAGCGATGATCCTTCGGTTTACGTCACGGGCCACGGCGCGTGCGCGCCCACCGTCTTCGCGGTGTTCGATCTCCCGATCGACCTCCGCGTATTCCCGAACAAGCTGTTGTCCGGCTTCGTTGATCTCCCGCTTTTGGGCTCTCAGTTGCTCCACCCCTACGCGAGGTGGGGCCACTGTATCCCCTTTGGTTTTGCAGCCGAGGTTGCCTGCCGGGGTAGCCTCCTCCACGGAGACGCTTTCGACGTGTCCCTCGGGGGTACCCGCCATGAAACATTCCCGGGAGGGGTGGTGGCTCCCCCTGCTGGAGTCAAAGGCAGAGTCTGACCCCGGCCCCTCCGTGAGGAGGCCGTGGAGGGATTTTGTGACGCTTTCAATCATCCCCACGAACTCGTTGTTCGCGGGGGACGGGATCGTGCGCTGTGCCACAAGGTGGCTTACGATCGCCGTGGCGTTGCGGAGACCGAACGAAAGCGCTGTCGGGGTGCTCCATGCGGAGTGTTCCAGAGAGAGGGTGAGGCGGCGCGGGTCCTCCCTAGACGGCTGGGGTCTAGGGGAGATGCCAGGCTGGCGCTCAAGACTCCTGTAGTTGAAGTCGATGGATGGGAGAGATTGGATGGCGACATGGGCCAGAGCCAACTCTCCTCCCACCGTGACGATGAAGTCTAGGTCACCGAAATGCACGTGTGCGCCCGGGACCCAGCTGATTGTGTGGCTAGCCATCCGAGGCCTGATTTGGAACGCGTAAAGGCACCTATCTGGCGCGCCAACTGTCGATGTTTTGAACAAACACCAACTAGTAAATTTATAATTGTTGCGCATTAGGCTCGGATGGTGTACTAAAGGACACAAGGTTTATACTAGTTCGGGCAGAATATCCCTACGTCCAGTTTGCTGCTGCTCGTGTTATTAGTACAAAAAAGGTTCATAGTAGGAGGTACAAACGATCGAGAGAGGGATAGGTCCCAAGTCTCTGATGGAAAGGTCGAAAGGACGCCAAGAGCTCGGTTGCTGCTTGGCTGTGTGTTGTGTGTGGAATCGATTCGTTGTCTTCGGTGGGGTGCCCTATCGCGCCTTTTATAGACCAAGGGGGAGCAGGGATTATAGATGGGAGAAAGAGGAAAAACTAGGGGGTAGAGAAGATCCTTCGAAGGAGCCGGGTCTTCCTTTTCCCCTATGCCTGCCCTGCTAACATGGCAGACCGTGTCAGGGATAGCGTGTTCGCTGATCCTCATAGGGCCGTGCCCTAGCCTTATTCAGCAAGTGGGTGTCTCCCATCCTACACCGGCGGACGGTGCGGCGTGCCAGAGAGCCGAGCTATGACCCTTCGGGGAGTAGGCGAGGAATTGACCATACGTCCATCATTATAGATGATGTGAGTTCTGTCTTGGATCGTAGTGGTTGTCGTATGCTTGTGTTACTATCCGCGCCCGAGGGCTGATGGCGGCGCCTACAACACTGTGAGACAAAATTCGGCGCCTACAATACTATTTGGGCTCTGTCAGGTTGGAATAAAGCGCCCGTCCCGCCGTATCCTAACGATATCTTCCTACAGGCATGCAGAGCATGGTCCTCGGTACTGCGGTTGACTCGAATGTCCTGTCGTACCCTGTGCTCGTCATTATGAAGGAGCAGGGTGCAGTCGTTGGGCGAGGCGGAGCCTGCCCTCAGACGTCGGGCGAGGCGAAGCCTGCCCTCGGACGTCGGGAGAGGCGGAGCCAACCCTCAGCCGTCGGGCGAGGCGGAGTCTAGCCCTCAGCCGTCGGGTGAGGCGGAGTCTAGCCCTCAGCCGTCGGACGAGGCGGAGTCTAGCCCTTGGGGGTCGGGCGAGCCAGAACCAATCTTCCGTCGTTCGAGCAAGAAGTGTAGTAGCGTTCTTGTCTGACCGGAAGCGTCAACGTTTGATGGTTATTAGTTCCACCTCATTAGGTACCCCGGTATTAGGTCCCTGACACCAGCATCGGCATCGCGCGCAGCGCCTTCCGCCGTGCCCCGGCCTACGCGAGCCGCGCCATCGACGACAGCCCCGGCTCCCCCGCCCCCGCGGCAGGCTACCGCTACACCCCGCGAGGCGACGTCCGTTGGAGCACCGGAGCGCGCACCGCACGATGGAGTTGAGCTCGAGAGCGCAGATGAGCACGCACAGGAGCACGGCCAAGATCATGACCACGTTCGCGTCGAAGCTGCTGCTGGTGTTGCTGCTCCCACCTCCGCTCTTGACACCGTCGCTCGCCGGGGCTTCCTGCTGCCCGGCCACCACCTGGCTCGCCGCCGCATTCTCCCCGTAGCTGTGCAGCGGAGCCAGCAGCAGCGCCCTCCGCGAGTACACATACACGAGATGGCGCGAAGCAGAGAGAAATCGCACGGGGGATGGATACGCGCGACAGGAGCAGCGCGTATAGTTATGCAGAAAGAGGAGGAATTTTTCAAGTTCTAAAAGATTAGAAGTTATTGGAGACAAGTTTTTCTCTATCTTTCTAAAAAAAATAAGGATTAAAATGATGTGTAGGAAACTCTCGATCTCTTACTCTTAAACTAGCGCGCGCCTGTCACCGCCGCGGAATCGGGCTGTCGGGTCGGGGGATCCTATAAGACAGACGACGGGTGGACAGCGGTAACCAATCCCCGCCTTGTCCACTCCACTCCCCCAAAAACCTCCCCAAACCCCCAGAAACTCCCATCCCATCACTCACCTCCATCCTCCGCACCACTCCTCCACCTCCACCTCCACCTCACGTCGCCGCCGCCGCCGACTCCCAGCTCTGCTCCCACCTCACAAGGTCTCCTCCTAGAGTCCTAGGCTTTCTCCACGCCACACCACCGCTGCTGCCACCTCCCTTCGTCTCCGACCTTGTTCTTCGCGCTTTTTATTTCTTCGTCGGTGCTCCTGCTCCAGGACCTTCTTCTGTTCCTTCCTAGGACCAGTAGGAGTAGCACTCCGAGAGGGAAGAAGAAGCTCCCTCTCGCCGAGGAGCCAGCAAGTCACTCACGGAGCTCGAAAACCGTTAGAGATAGGAGTATCCCCGGCAGAGGAGAGGACTGGGCGCGGCTTTACAGCTGCCTCTGCTTTCAGCTACTACTCGTAGCTGCTGCTGCTGCTGCTGCATTTCCGCTGCTCTTTTTAAAGAGCCCGTCTTTACTGCGGCCACTCCCTTCCCCTTCCTCCTTCCTCCCTCCGCCCTGGTCTGCCTTCCTTCCTGCTCGCATCGCCTTCGCCTTCCTCCCTTCCCGACCCTTTGCTCTTTATTCCCCTGCCGATCCGCAGAGCAGGAGGGAATCCACCCGGCCGTCCGTTCCGATCGCCCCTGCTTCTTCTTTTTCCTGCTGGGGTCAGGGCTGCAGCTTGCAGGCCCGTGTTTCGGTTGGGGTTCTTGTATCATCTCATCTTAAAGCCAGTGAAGTACTTGCTCATCTCTCCTTCCTTGTGCGCTTCGTCGGCCTTCGGCTAGCTAGCTTGGGTTTAAGTGTGTGACTCCCGGCGTGCCATGTCGCGCTCGCGCACGGTGCGGATCTTCTGGGACGATCCTGACCTGACGGACTCCTCCGGCGAGGAGGAGGCCTGCGGAGCCCGGAGGGTCGGCAGGATGGTGCGGGAGCTGCCGCCCGTGGCAGCAGCAGCAGCAGCGCCAGAGGCTGCTCCCGTGCCGGATCAGTGCAACGCCGGGGAAGGCGACCGCGGGAGGAGGGTCGTCGGTGTCGCTGGTCCCGGCGTGTGCAGCGGGGCGCGGAGACGGCTGGCCAAGGGTGGCCCCGGCGCGGCGAGCACCAAGTTCCGCGGCGTCCGGAGGCGGCCGTGGGGCAAGTTCGCGGCGGAGATCCGTGACCCGTGGCGCGGCGTGCGCGTGTGGCTCGGCACCTTCGACACCGCGGAGGAGGCCGCGCGCGTCTACGACACCGCCGCCATCCAGCTCCGCGGGACCAACGCCACCACCAACTTCTCCTCCGCCGGCTCCGGGGCCGGCCACCTGCAGGACCCGGCGACCCCCGGCGGCTACGAGTCCGGCGCGGAGTCCACGCCGGCGGTGTCGTCGCCGACGTCCGTGCTCCGCAAGGTCCCTTCCCTGTCCTCCCTCGCCGAGGACTCCTCCAAGGACGACTCCGACGCCGCGGCCCCGTGCGAGCCGGCCGCTGCCGAGTGCCGCAGCCTGGCCGTCCTCGAGGAGGAGGAGCTCGGCGAGTTCGTGCCGTTCGAGGACGCGCCGGTCTACGCCACCAGCGGCTTCTGGGACTTCGAGCCTGACGCCGGGTTCCTCTACGCCGAGCCGTCGTCGGCGGAGGCGTCGTGGAACGCCGCCACCGCCGCCGAGCCCGCGGCCACGTCCGATGACGCGCCCAGCTGGGCCGCGTCGTCGCCGATGCAGGAGAACAACGACTACTTCCAGGACCTGCGCGACCTCTTCCCGCTCAACCCGCTTCCCGCGATTTTCTGAACAGGCGGCTGACGGGGAACGCCGGGACCGGAACGGTGGGACTCGTTGATTCGTCGACCGGAATGTTTTTTTGGACGTCGAGAGTGTGGTGTGTCCTCCTGTGTCGTGCCTGCGTTGCGTGCACTGTGTACTTGTACGCCTCTTCCCTGCCGTGCGTGTTTTCTTCCAGTCGATGAGAAATGTAACATGCTGCCGATGAGTGAGTACGTAGAGTTTTGATGTGCTACGAGTTAGTGTATTACTACGTGATGAATGGTGTTTTTAGGTACCGTCCAAATTGTGATGCCGAGTATATAGATGCTGATGTACTTGTACTGTCCTACCTGGTATTCCTGTCCCGGCCTTGATTTGGCAACGAGCATGCGCGCACTCCCAATTCCCATTGCTAATTTGGAGTGCTATGGGGGCCGGGCGCTGGGGCGGCTCCGCGGCGTGGTCCAGACGCCAGACGCGGTGCTTGAAATGGGGCGGGCCTGTTCGCTTGAATTTATCAGCCGGTTTATCAACTAAAATCTACAGTATTTATCTCTCACAACAATAAAACAGCTTCGATCGACTTATTAATACTTTAATACCAGCCGAATAGGCCTGCGGAAAGTCTGCTGATTTTGGGTGGCCGGCTGGGTCCCCGCCGTGCCCGCGCACCATGAGTGGCTCGATCATCCGCCCGATCCGACGGGACCGACCACGGCGTACACGCGCGCGGGACCTTGCGTCGTCGACCGGTCGGGTACAGTGACCGCACCGACCGCCCGCGCTGGCGGCGCTCACGCGACGGAGCCGGGGGCTCGGATCGTTTCGTGGCTTGGTGCCCGTAGCCCCCGTACGTACGCGCGCGCGTGATTCCTGTGACTCCGGCAGAGGAGTAAGCTAGGAAAACGTACGTGCCGCGCGGTGCGCGCGAGGGGCCGAGACATGCCGAGTGAATGCGCGCGGGCGGGGCGGGGCGGGGCGGGGCGAGGCGGCGGGCGGTCCTGCTGCTGTGCTGCTGGCTCCTCCTGATGAGGCGGCCGTCGTCGCATGCAGGCCCACGACCACGTAGCGACCCGGAACGGGAACACGAACGTCGGGTGGGGTGACCAGTGACCACACGGGGAAGACAACGTAAAAGATAAGGGGAGGCGCAGGGGCTACGAGACAAAGGTACGTGGCGCGGTGGAAGGACAGGCCGGCGCGCGCGGCATGCCGGATTTCCTTACAGGTTCCACCGGCGGATAATGGGGTCACTTTGCGGCCCAGATAGTCGCTGTACGCTATGGGTGGGCCGGCTCGTCGTGCTCGTCCAACGGCGGGCTCGCGGCCAGCCTCGTCGTAGTCGGAGTGCTCGGTGAGCGTGGGCTCGACGATGCATGGCCGCAGAGACGCGTGATTCTTGTGATAACCTGTTGCGTCGCCAGCGCCATGTTACCAGCACAGCACCAATTTTTTTGAGATATTTACCTGTATGTCCTGGAAAAAATGCCCGCCCATTTTTTTTGAACTTACCTGTATAGCCCCAAAATAAAATTATCTTCCTTCTATGGCATTCCGTTCGTTTTTGGCATTTGACGGTGTTAAGTCAAGGGTAAAATGACCATTTTACCCCTGGTGAAAAAAATAAAATACAGAGTTTTGTTTGTCTGTTGTATATTTGGAATAATATTACATAAATAAGTTCACACATAACAGTACATATATATGTGTGTGTACTGTTATGTAATATTACGCAAATATGTGTAACTTATTTGCGTAATATTACTTCAAATATACAACAGACAAACAAAATTTTGCATTTTATTTTTTTTGCCAGGGGTAAAATGGTCATTTTACCCTTGACTTAACACCGTCAAGCATAAAAAATGAACGGAATGCCATATAAGGAAGATAATTTCATTTTGGGGCTATACATGTAAGTTCAAAAAAATCGAGCCATACCAATAAGAGGCATTTTTTCCAGGGCCATACAAGTAAATATCTTTTTTTTTGTGCACCGTGCACGCGTCGACGGTGGACCGGTGGGCACCCGTCTAGCTCAAGTCATGTAGAGAGGCATGCACTGTACTGTGTAGGAGAGCACGGAACCATGGGGGCTATGAGTGATGAGTCTATGACTACAACCAAGATGGTGAGGAGGTGCTGAGAGAGGAGAGTGTCGACGGTGTAGTCCATTTGTGATATTGATGTGGGAGTTTCTAAAGATCCACAAGAATATTGAAGACAACTAGTAGACAGGTAAGTACATGAGAGGTCGGCACATGATCTTGTCAAACACCTTAGGTCGATTCATAGTTCCATGTAGTTTGATTTGAATATTTGTCATTTGTATAAATCATGTATTTGAATTGAAATTTTTGGATTTGAATTTATGAATTTGAATATTTATAGAAACAGGAAGTAGGGACTTTGATTTAGGGACTACTACGAGAATTGAAGGGCTCAAAAGTATGGGAAGCACTCAAATTAGAAAGTAGAGGCCCTAATTTATTTAAAGGCTATGGCTAGAGTTACTTTTACAAAGTAAAGAGTGTTTACAACATATATATTCCATGTATAGATATTTGGTAATCAGATTGCAATGCCTCTAAATAAATATTTAGGAAGTTAAAGTTACCCCTTAAAATTAAGATATTTGCTTGTTTTTTACTGAAGGGTGTCAATTTTAAGAAAAGACATTTTTCTAAAACGAAGTTGGAAATAAGGTGATGACAATTTCAAGCATAAAAAAAAAAATCAAACATCTGTTTTTTTTATTGTCGTATTGCAAGATTTGTGTGGAAGATTGTTCAAGTTGCATTTGGTTTACATTCTCTTGAAGATTTATCAGTTTTTTTGGGCCTTGGGATCAACAACTACGTACAAAATTGTGTCCTAGAATTTGTGTGGAAGCAATTGCAATTTGCTGGTCTATTTGGCTGACCTAAAATGATTGGTTTCTGAAAACAAAATTTATTATATTCCTCTGTGTAGGTAACCTTCGGAGCCACAGACTAGATATGCTACTGGCCCATTCTTCCTAAGGAGCACAAGAAACCCATAATGAGCGGGCATATCGTTTGCTAGGAACAAGACAACGAAGATCTTCGCCAAGAGTGTGGATGGTTGTCTTCTAATAAGTTTAGTACTGACTGTCGTCAGAGTAAAGACTCACAAAAACTAAGTAAAAGTTTGGAGACAAGAAGGTTATATCTATAATAATGAATGGTTGAATGTATAACTCTTGTAGAGATTAGATAAAATTTCCTTTTTGAAAAAAAAAACCCGAATCAGAGAGATGAGACATGAGTTCCTACTTACGTGATGGACTGGGCTGTCCCTAGAACTTTAGAAAGAGTTAAATGCAACGAGGTATAGCCCAATCGCAGCATTTGTTTTGAATTGGCTTAATTGGTAAGTTGATAGGCTGAGACTCTTCTTGATATAAACCAATAAACACAGAAATGTGTTAGCTGATGCCTGATGGGCCGTATGGGAGCCGCGAGGCACTAATTCGCAGTTCCGGCTGTTTGCCGGTGTCCCTGCTCCTTTGTACTGGCCAGCCCCTTTTTCATGAAACAAGTTGCGGCATACTTTTTTTTTAGTCAACATCAGGAGTGACTTCACTGAATGTATTTTTCACATATTTCGGCAAGCCGATAATGTAGGGTGCAAACTACCTAATACAGGGACGACCTTTGAAAGTCACAGAAGTACATGATATAGAGGAAGAGAGAATAAAACAACACCAATAACAAAAGCAAGATAAACAATAACGACATGGTTCAGCTAGAGGCTCATCTTACAACTGGAGCTAGTGCGAGCCTGTAGCTGCCCACGCCGTGAGCAGATGCGCCCTGGCCGAGCGCCGCCGCCGCGGTGACGCCGAGCGGAGGGAGCGCGAGCGCCAGATAGGGAGTGAGGGAGGATGGAAGTGGAGTGGCCGGGGAAGAAGATGGTAGAGGGGCGACGGACGGGAGGTGACTAGGCGAGCGACCGTAAGCAGACGGCGACAGAGTACGCGAGGGATTGTGATATGGGAGTTAGGGTTTGGATTTTCTGTTTATATACTACATCCAACGGCTGTAATGCATCAAAGGTCATCCAACGGTAGAAGATTACGCCACATTGTGCCGGCCCTTTTATTCGTGCCGTGCCTGGGCCGGCACTACGGGCCAGAGTCATGGCCCAGGCAAGGCACTACGACCGGGCCGTGCTAGGCACGGGCACGATGGGAGCCGGGCCAGGCCGTGCCTGGGCCATGCTTTTATAGTGTCGTGCCAGTGCCAGCCCAGTGGGTCTGGTCCATTTGGCCAAGTATATGTTAGACCAATAACAAGATGGGGAGGGAGAGCAACCAGGGAGAGCACAACGAGTAGGAGGGTAGTTGAACTAGAGCGGGGAGAGGTGGAAGAACAGTTAGGAAGAGCTCAAAGTGGCGTCGAGATATGGGTGGCCACAGGTGTACTTTAAGGACACCTTCAACAAGAAATTTGACGTTTGCCAGCGCCACTGTCGTAGGCTGAAGTTGGGAAGGTCTTTCACCCCTGGGCATGCTCCGTCGAGCGGTTAGTAGTAGCAGAATCTTTAGCAACGCCTCAAGGAGTATGACGCCAAATGCACCATCGTCGCCATCGTTGCGCGTCATAGTAAGATGATGTAGTAACTTGGATATTCTTTTGCCATATATATAGCCACCCTGATAAGACGATGTAGTAACTTGGATGTTCTTTTACCATATATATAACCACCACGATCTGTGATTTGGACAGTTGTCCTGCAACTGTGAGGAAACCGTATGGTGCCCATCGCCAATCGGCAGGCGGTGTCGAATATCCTGGTCGAAACGTACGACACCATTGCTCCCTAGTTGACTACGCGCGCCCCCGCTATGCTATGCACAAACGATCCCCAGCTGCAGCCTCCCGGTAAATCGCTCGAGAGACAAAATTACAGGTCCGTTTCCGTTCATATCCACTGCCCGACGCATCACAACCGCGTCGATCTCTCGAGACGAAGAGCACCTAGTGATCAAGCCAAGCGGAATATGCTGCCAACCAGCACGAGACAGGGCGCCGATGACGACGGCCTTGGCCTCGTTGCAGACGCCCCCTCTCGTTCATCGACCTTGCGATGGGCTCCCGGTTCGTACGCCGGCTATAAGAGCCCCAGCGAGCAAGCAGCCAAAGCACCAAAGCACGGATCAAGTTTGCACAGGCACCCACGCCACAAGCGCACACACCCTGCCGCACGTCGTCGGCGCGTGACTTACGTGTGGGCGGCGAGATGGCGGCGGCGGGCGGGTCGAACGGACTGGCGGTGCTGGACGCGCTGGACTCGGCGCGCACCCAGATGTACCACATGAAGGCCATCGTCATCGCCGGCATGGGCTTCTTCACCGACGCCTACGACCTCTTCTGCATCACCACCGTCTCCAAGCTGCTCGGCCGCATCTACTACCCGCACGAAAACCTGTTCATAGACAAGCCCAAGCCTGGCACGCTGCCCGTGGCCGCCAACAACCTGGTCACCGGCGTCGCGCTCGTCGGCACGCTCATGGGCCAGCTCGTCTTCGGCTACTTCGGCGACAAGCTCGGCCGGAAGCGCGTGTACGGCATCACGCTCGTGCTCATGGCCGCCTGCGCCATCGGCTCGGGCCTCTCGTTCGGCAAGACGCCGAGCGCCGTCATCGGCACGCTCTGCTTCTTCCGCTTCTGGCTCGGCTTCGGCATCGGCGGGGACTACCCGCTGTCCGCGACCATCATGTCCGAGTACTCCAACAAGAAGACGCGGGGCGCCTTCATCGCCGCGGTGTTCGCGATGCAAGGCGTCGGCATCATCTTCGCGGGGCTTGTGTCCATGATCATCTCTGGAATCATGCTGCGCTACCACCCGGCGCCGTCGTGGAAGGAGGACCACGACGGCTCGTGGAAGGACCAGATGCCGGCGGCGGACTACATGTGGCGCGTCGTGCTCATGCTCGGCGCGTTCCCGGCGCTGGCCACGTTCTACTGGCGGATGAAGATGCCCGAGACGGCGAGGTACACCGCGCTCATCGAGGGCAACGCCAAGCAGGCGGCCAACGACATGAAGAAGGTGATGGACGTGGAGATCCAGGCGGAGCAGGACAAGCTCGCCAGGTACAAGGCGGCCAACGACTACCCGCTGCTGTCGAGGGAGTTCGCCCAGCGCCACGGCCTGCACCTCATCGGCACGGCCACCACGTGGTTCCTTCTGGACATAGCCTTCTATAGCCAGAACCTGACGCAGAAGGACATCTTCCCGGCGATCAAACTGACGAGCCCCGCCGGCGACATAAACGCCCTCAAGGAGGTGTTCGAGATTTCAAAGGCCATGTTCCTCGTCGCACTCTTCGGCACCTTCCCCGGCTACTGGGTCACCGTCGCCCTCATCGACAAAATGGGCAGGTAACTTAACTACGAGCTCCCTCCCGCTTTTAATTATACACTTCTCAGTTAAAAATGCAAATTAAAAATGCAGGTACCTGATCCAGCTCATCGGTTTCTTCATGATGTCCGTCTTCATGCTACTGATGGGCATCATGTACGATGACCTCAAGAACAAATACACCACGCTCTTCGCCCTCTTCTACGCGCTCACCTTCTTCTTCGCCAACTTCGGGCCCAACAGCACCACGTTCGTGCTGCCGGCCGAGCTGTTCCCGACACGCGTGCGCTCCACCTGCCACGCCATCAGCGCCGCGTCAGGCAAGGCCGGCGCCATCGTCGCGGCGTTCGGGGTGCAGAGCCTCACGCTCAAGGGCGACGTGAAGTCCATTAAGAAGGTGCTCATCATCCTGGCCGTCACCAACATGCTCGGCTTCTTCTTCACCTTCCTCGTCCCGGAGACCATGGGGCGGTCGCTCGAGGAGATCTCCGGGGAGGACGGCAACGCCGGAAGTGTTCCCGCCGGCGCGGGCATGGGCGTTGCGGACGTGAGCAGGGATGACAAGATACCTGTTTCCAGTACTGAGTGGCAGAGCTCCATGCATGCGTGATCGATGCCTCCAGTAAGCAGTTAAGCACACACCAAAACTATTGTTGCTGGTTTGAACAGTGTGGAAATTGAGGGACACGAATAAGGGCAACTACTTATATGTTGCCGGCTTCTACCCTAGCTTGAGAGTGTTCCATAAAGTTATTTGAGTACATGAGAGTGTTGCATGCAGCCATCTATACAATTATAAGGAGGTATTCTCTGTAATAATACTTAAGTTATAATTTATGTCAGTATTGAAATACCATTTGTACTTTGTTCAATGTATTTGTGTATAAAATAAAGAGTATATCGTTGTATTAGCATTCGTTTTGTCCCCCCTCCTCCCTCTCTCTCCTTCAATGGCGGATGCAAAGTGTAACGAGTGGCTAGTGGGCCAGAGTATTCAGTAGATGGGCCGTATGGCTGTGTGGGCTTCTGGCCGTAAGACGGTGTGTGTGTGTGCGGCGGCGGTAGAATATAAACCGCGCTGTTGTAACCGTTCAGCATGGAGCTGTTAAGGAATAACAAACTCTGAGTTCCTCCCCCATTTCCGTCTTCGTCTTCCTCTAGAATTCTGCTCCTCTTTCTACCCAAATCCCCGGATTCTATTATTTCTCTGTATCTGAGAGTTCTAGAGCGTGACAATTGGTATCCGAGCAAGGTTCGGGCGGAGGATTTTGCCAGATTTTTTTTTTCTCATCCAGTTCGGGCTGGCGCCGAAGAAACGCACGACGAAGTTTGGAGCCCTGATGACGACGACGCTCGAGGACCTGACGAAGCGCTTTGATGGCTTCGAGTTGATGATGCAGCAGTCTCTCGACAAGCTCAGCGGCCTGGAGGCATGGCGGACCACGGCGGAGGTGTCCATGGGGTCCCTGTTCCAGAAGACGGACGCGGCGGCGACAAGGTTGCAGCAGCTGGAGTCTGCTCCACCACCACCGCCTCCCCGCCCGGCTTCCCCTCCACCGCGCGGACCAGCGGCACCGCAGAACCCTACCCACGGGGTGGTCACCACCTTCGACCTCAACCATGCTCCCCAAGCGTCGATGTGCTCTTCTGCATCGTCGTCGGAGCGGGCCTACGGGCACTGCGAGCAGGGCAGCGGGATCCTCGGACCCTAGCCGTCCAGCTTCATTTAGGGTACGTGCCACGATTCCCATCCTCACGCATTCGATTTCAATTGCGGCTCTAGGGATGTTGCGCCTAGAAACCCCCCTTTACCCAAGATTGAGTCTCCGAAACTTGATGGTGATAATCCTCGTTTGTGGCGAGATCGGAGTGAGATGTACTTCGACGTCTATGCTGTGAACGCGGCCATGAAGACTCTGTTCGCTGCATTGAATTTTGTTGGGGCTGCCGCTCTCTGGCTTCAGACTGTTGAACGCAGAGGCAGGATTTCAGATTGGGAGAAGTTCTGTCAGTTGGTCTTTCAGAAGTTTGACAGGGATCAGTACAAGAATCAGTTGAGACAGTTAGATTCTCTTCAGCAAACAGGATCTGTAGCTGAATATAAACAGAAATTTGAGCAGTTATCTCATGGGATTCTTCTGTACAATGAGTCGTATGATGATACATATTTTGTGACAAGATTTATTGGAGGGCTCAAAGAGGAAATTCGAGCACCTATTTCTCTGCACAGGCCTACTGAAGTTGATGCAGCCAGTGCCTTGGCCCTCTTACAGGAGCAAGAACTAGAGAATGCTAAGAAGAAGAATCTAGCAAAAGGGGATGTTCAGTACAAGCCCTAGAAACCAGGAGGGGAAGTCAGGAACAATCCCAGGAAGCAAGAAGGCAATGCCAAATTCAGACAGGGTGATGATAAACTTGAGACCCTGAAGTCTTTAAGGAAAACAAATGGCCTCTGTTACAGATGTGGAGAGAAAAGGGGCCACAACCATAAGTGCCCACCTCAGGTGCCATTACATGTATTGGAAGAGCTTTGGGATGCTATGGAACCAGTATCTGATCACACTGAATCAGAGGACATGCCTAATCAGCCTGAAGAGGTGGTATTGGCAGTCAATATGGACACACCACCCAGTACTAGAAGAACAATGAAATTCTTGGCACATATTGGCAAAACTCAAGTATTGGTGTTGGTGGACTCTGTTAGCGTGGGAACCTTTGTCAGTCAAGCTCTTGTTGCTAAGCTTAAGTTGCCAACACTTACCTGCAATCAGGTACAATACAAAGCTGCAGATAGTGGACTCATGACATGCACACAATATATTTCAGACCTGCAGTGGTATACTCAAAAGCAGTCATTTAGTTCCGAAGCTCAAGTTCTACCCTTGCAGTGTTTTGATATGATCCTTGGAGAGGACTGGTTAGAAGAAGTGAGCCCTATGTGGGTGGATTGGAGGTCCAAAGTGATGAGGTTTACTTACAGAGGTCAGAGAATTGAGTTGAAGGGTATTGAAGATGATACTTCTCAGTGTGCTGAAATAAGTGCTCTCAAACTTCAGGGATTATTTAGGCACCAGGCAATACTTCATTGTGTTCAGTTACAACTCATACAAGAACCAGAGCCTGTCAATAAACCATCTGCAGAATCCATCTTATCCTTGGAGCAGTATGATTTAAGGAGTACTCTCATTTATTTGAGGAGCCTAATTCATTACCACCACAGAGAGCTGCTGATCACCAGATTCCCTTGATACCTGGTGCTCAACATGTACAATGTAACACCCTCGGTGTTACACCGTAAATCGTTTACTAAAACATTGCATGAGCATCGTGTTTATATGTTAATGCATGTAATATAGAGTGTAGATCAATTTCCGTAACTCGAAACGATCAACGGAAACGCGAAACGAAAGTTACGTTCCATTGTCACGTAATATCACTTAGGGTTAAAACCAATTTTTATTAAGCGAAAACACTATAGAACGTATATACGGAACTTTAATAACGTTAGAAATACAAACTTTGTAGATGACGATGAAATACTTGCGGTCAAAAAATGAATTCACTAGCTAACATACCAATAGCTTGGAAATCGAATTTGACGCGAATCCGATCAAGACTTAGTCGATTTCGTTAGTCTAAAAAATGGTTTGACAAAGCTATGTTTGGCAATTTTTGTAGAGTAATTGGGTTAAGGAGTCGTGTGGTTTTATGGCTGGTTTTAGTAGCCTAACATGCCCTCTCAAGTATAGCATAGGTGGTTCGGCGATTGGATCAACGATTTAGGTTTTTAGAACGCTTTAAAAGTCGTGCACAACACGTCCTCAGGCTGGTTCGCAGGCCGTGCGCGGTCACCACGCACGGTCTTGGCGCCATTGCTTGGGTCTTACTCTATTTTGCCGGCCAAAAGCCGCCTGGTTTGGCTGCGGCTCGGCTGGGAGCCGGGCGCTGCATGCATGCCACTAGTCACCGCTTCTAGCTAACCGGTCACCGCTTCTTTGTGCACTGTCCGTCCGTCGTCGGTCGGCGCGTCTCGCCGAGGCGGCACAGCGCCCCTCTGCCCGGGTCTCTGTTGCTTGCGTCCACGCCGCCACTATCATTGTTACCCGCAGTTCGTGCTTCTTTGGGTCGCTCGCGTGCACCCGCGCCGCTATGTCGTCGCCATCGCTGCTCATTGCTGCTACGCCGCCACGTGACCGCAAGACATGGCCGTGTCACCATCGGCTTGCCAATTAAGGTGCTACGACCGCACGAGTCGTGCCGACCTCGTACGCGCACGTGTAGCCATCCTCTGTGTGCCTTTGTCCTCTTTTATTGAGTGGCAAGCGCCACGCCACGCTCCCCAACCGCCACCACCTTAAATGTTGTCGCGCCGGCGTCACCGAGCCACGCCAAGGCCAGCTCGCAGCGCCCGGTCCAATCCAAGTAATTGTGCACGCCAGAAGCTTGAAAGGGAGCCTAGCTACGCACCAAGCCCGCCCACTGCTATAGTCGTACTGTGTCGAGCCTTAATTTGAAGTTTCCCCGCCATCGGCCACCTTAAGACTGAACGGCGACGCCCACCAAATTAGCCTCGCACCGTCCAACTCCATCCAATTCTGTGGCACAGTGTCTTCGCCTTGATCCCCTCCACCCCATGCGCACCCCACTTGAACTGCCACTACTTTCCCGATGCTACTGGCACGGTCACGCCACCGCAATCCGTCGTGGAGCTTGTCGTGTGCGCGTGGCCGGACCATCACCACAGCACCTACTAGGGTACGATAGTGGTGCTTTAGAGTTAGCTAGCTCTCCCCGCGGTGGCTTAGGGTGGTCGGCGTGGTTGCGGCGCCGTCGTGCATGGCCACGTGTCGTGGCCGCCGCTTCCGCGAGCTCCACCGCCCCTGTAACCTCGGCTAGGGTAGACAATAGGGTTGTAGGTGCTATTCGGCTCGTTATCTGGGTCGGGGCGGGTCTCGGTTGGCCGGCGTGGTGGTCCAGTGCCATCGCCGCCGCGCCGGTGCGCGCGGGGGTGGCCCGAGGACCTGGCCGTTGTGAAGATGGATTGTTCCGAGGGCTAGTTTGCTTAAGTCCCGACTGTAGGAATAGGCCGCACACTAGTTAGGGGAATAGCAATTAGATTGGGGGCATTTTCGCATAAATGACTGACGCGTGCGGACCTCCTCGTCGCGGGCCATTGACGCGCGGTTGGCCCGCACCCCGCGTGGGCCGCGCGGGTTGATTTCGCTTTTCATTTTAGAGAAGATAGAAATAGCTTTATATTTTACATTCTAAGTTGAGTTGAACCTTGGAAATTAATATCTATTCATATAAGTAGTCAAAAATTGTGAAATAAATTCTATTGAGTTCCTAAAAATATGGTCTACCTGATAGTATGGTTAGTTTATGTATGTCTGCATTGATGCTAAGGTCTATTAAATCATTTGGAAGTGTTAATGTTATTTAGATTAATAATTGTAGGAATTTTTGTGGCCAATTTGGTAATAGCTTTAGCTATGAAATTTTTACAGTAGGTTCGTTAGATTATTATGTGCTCACTGTAATTTTTATAGCATTGGAATAGGTTGATAAATATGGTCGCTAGTACCCCTTGTTTTATCATATATATAGTAAATCGATATTAAGAATAAGGATGCCTTTAGTTGCTAAGGTAATACATGCAATGTTTCATACCTGTTTAGTGGTAATAATAGGTAACTTAGCGTCTTGGTTGATAGAGCTAGCTTAGTAGCTTGATAGATGTATTCTTATTTTAAGAGTTGTTGTTGCCATATTACTAAGTGTTGCACCATCATTTCAAGCATGTAGATAACGAGTTGGTAGAGTTCATGACTACGGGCAAGCAGGAGTAAAATGAGATCATCAAGGAGTACGAGGAGGAGATTCTCATACAGGAGAGAGCCTCGGAGCCATCGGATGCTGACTTTGTTGACACCCCGCCTGCTCAAGGCAAGCCCTGGTGCATAACCCATATTTTCAATGATAACTGGATATACATAGATGTGATATGCATTTATGTTACAGGCATTTTATGGAAACTACATGCATAGATATACCTACCTATGAGTCATACTAGCATAGGTCAAGTAGCTGCTATGCTTAGGATTTTTGGTAGCATGAGTAACCTGCCGTTACTCACAATAGGTGATTATTATGATCACTCATGATAAAATGGTGAAAGGAAAATGGAGACCGAGCAGGGATATGGTTTGGGTATTGGTGGGTGTAAGAGGTTGTGTCCTACGACCAACGGGGCACATCTTGGTTACACTATTTTCCTGTCTGTGTCTGTTAAGGACCGGCCGTTGTATTGGGTTCTAGATAAGTCACAGACTTATTATTTCGAACACATACTTGTGTATGGACGCAGGGAAGGCTTATTGTCTCTTGTCATGGGTTCTGGCTCTTTTCGGACCGACTGATTGGAGGCACGAATGGTGGAGGTCTAAGCACCGCACGGAGTCCGGGACTCAGGAGCGGGGGCTTGGAGTCCAAGTATGGACAGGGACCTAGACCCCATGACATGAGAGTGGTGGGTTGGTCCTGCTTGTGCCTGGTGTACAAGCAGAGCATGTGTTTCGGGGTACCCAGCTGGGCACATTGATTCGTGAATCACCGGGCGATCCAGTACGGCTTGTCTATAGTCTAGCACCGTAGTAAGAACTGAAAGATGAAAGGTGGTGAAATAGAACTGTTTGCTCAACTCTTGCTTGAAAGTAGAACATGTGCTTACATAAAATGGCTAGATAATGAACTAATCATGACTGCTAATAATAAACATACATAAAGATTCACTTTTAGTATCGCTTTCCGCAAAAAGAAAACCCCACAAACCATAAAGCTTATCATATCCCTTGGAGTCGGGAAATTATTCGCACTAGTCGGATAAGTCTTGCGAGTACATTGTGTACTCAGGGTTTATCTACCACTGTTGCAGGTGCCGCTTGAGGAGTAGTCATTGTGTGAAGGATTCTTCTGGTGGGCATAGATGGATCCTTGTATATCATCGATAGATGTTTATTGTTATTCCGCTATTTAATTTTTGCACTCTGAACTTCGTAATCTAATAATGTCTTTCTAGAAACTCTGGTTGTATGAAATGGACTAAGTATTGTAAACTCGTTCTCATTATTAGATTCTGGAGGAAAAATATGGATTATTCGAGCTCTCCCTTGGGGCGTGCTCGACGAAATCCGCTCGATGTAGCTCGCTCTCGGGGTGCTTAGTGTCTGGTGGAAGACGAGCGCCTCTGAAGGTGTGTTATTTCGGGCTGTTCTGCCACAGGTGGTATCAGAGCCAATAATGAGTCTACGAGTTTCATAACTCTTTTCAAAACCTAAAA